ATTATTTGTAGGGTCCATAGGTGTTTTTAGGGCTATGTCAAGGTCTACAGGTGTATTATTTGTAGGGTCCATAGGTGTATATTTGCAGAGCTCTTTCAGAGTCTATAGGGTCCATAGGTTTGTGTACAGGGGTATGTGCAGGTGTTTATAAGACTGTGTGGGGTCCGTACCTGTCCGTAGGTGTTTGCAGGGCCGTGTCAGGGTGCAGAGGGGTATTTAAAGGGGTATTTGTAGGGTCCATAGGTGTTTATAGGGCTGTGTCAGGGTGTATAGGGGTATTTGTACGTATTTATTTGTGGGGTTGTTTTGAGGTCTGTACAGGTGTTTATATGGCTTTGTACCTCTCCATATTTGTAGGGTCTGTAGGATTTTGCATGGCCGTGCCGGGGTGCAGAGGGTATTTTAGGGATATTTATAGGGGCTGTAGGTGTTTGCATGGCCGTTGCGGGGTGCAGAGGGTATTTTAGGGGTATTTTAGGGGCAGTTTTAGCGCTATTTGTCGTATTTCATCCCCGGCCCTGCCGCTCCCCTCACGCCCCTCAGCCGGCCCCGCGCGCGCCCCGGCGCCCCCTGGCGGCGGCGGCCCCGCAGCGCTGCCCGCGGCCAACATGGCGCCGCAGGGCCCGGGCAGAGCGGGGCCGGCCCTACCAAACCCTGCCCGGGCCGGGCCCTGCCAAACCCTGCCCCGGGCCGGGCCCTGCCAAACCCTGCCCCGGGCAGATCGGGGCCGGGCCCTGCCAAACCCTGCCCCGGGCAGAGCGGGGCCGGCCCAGCCAAACCCTGCCCGGGCCGGGCCCTGCCAAACCCTGCCCCGGGCCGGGCCCTGCCAAACCCTGCCCCGGGCACAGCCGGGCCCTGAAGGGACAGAACAAACGCAATGGTGGCGGTACTGCCACAGCACAGCCTCCATCAGCTCTGCCCAGGGACACTCACATCAGGCACAACGATGTCCTGCAGCAGAAGTTCTGGAGCTTCCGCTGGGCAAAGGCTTCTGCTGGACCGTGCAAAGCTCATGGGGAGCGCGGCTTCACGTGCTACACAAAATTAAACACCCCAATGAAAGTTAGAGGCTATACACTATAGTGCTATTTCTAACTGAAAATGTAAAAAACACGACACTAAGGGAACCGTTCCTGTTTCTGTGGTGCAGGGCCAGGCCCACCCAAAGAGATGCTCAAGAAGACACAGCCACAAAAGCTGTGATCAATTCCCAGACAGGAAAACACCCAAATTACACGGCTGCTTGGAGGTGTGCAAGGATCAAGAGAGGTCAGCAGTAAAACTGGTGTTTAATTTCAGCTGAAGAGGTCTGAAGGAAACAATGACTTCCAAGGAGCAAAGAACACAAATTATTTCTGTATTTCTCATTGGAACAGGCACTCACTGTACAGCACTGTACTAGAAAGTCACTTGTGTCTTCTTTATTTCTTATTTAACACAAGTGGCACTTGACTAAACCAATAGATTCCAGCTGAGATGAACTAATACCCAAATGAAACTTGCTCCCTAAGTAGCTCACTTTGCAGCATCATCTTAATCAAGCTTGAAAATTCATTTTTTGTAAATGTAAACAACACTAACGAGATTTGTGTCTTGCCCAGTGCAGCTGTCGATGACAGAGGTAAGACAAACACTGTCAGTGGTTTAACCACATGAAAATGATGTGGGTATCCCGTACCAAACATTGTGTCATCACCTCCAACATGCTGAACACAAAACCAAACCAAAGATCCCAAGATGTGGATAGTTTTCTTGCCTTGCAGCACAGGAAACAAAGAATATGAATGGCTTAATAATATGGTTTTTACAAGATTTAAGCTTTTAGGATTTTAAATTTCCAGAATTACAAGACCAAGCATTTTATGTAACCTCATGCAGCATTCAGAAAGTCACAGAAATCTATGTTTCTATATTAAACTCATTTGAATTTCAAATCATTTATGCCCTCCAACAGAAAAGAGAATCCCACTTTTTTTTTAAATTGGGTACACAATATCCAGAACAATAGCAAAGAAGCAAAAGGAAAAAAAACGACAAAGTCTTGAGAAATTCCAGTGTCTCACAAGAACACTTCTCATGCCTAGAATTCACCGCTGCAGCTGGGAGGGTCTAAAGGGACCAGGCTGGCAGTTAGAGTTAGGATCTTTTCTTTGACCTTTCCTGATACAGCTTCATGGAATAGACAAACCTGTGGCCATTGCAGAATTACATTTTCCTTTCTGCAGTGTGCTGGGACTCTCACCTCTTTCATCAGCCAATCTCCCATGTGCTTCCCACTCCACTCTTACCTCCCTTTTCTCTTGCAGCTGTGGGTAGTGAGGCCGCTTCCAGCGCTGATTTGGACAGGACAGACTGTGATACACACCAGCTTTGTGTGTTGTAAGCACACCAAATAAATACCATTTACAAAAACATGACCCCTGCCCTGGGTGGTGTCCCTACCTGCTCTGGCTGCTGTTGTCTGTTGCTCAGTTCTTAGTGCTGCCATTCCCTTGGTGAGTACACAAAGCCATTATCAGTACCTGGGCACTGCCAGCTGCTCACGAGAGCACTCTGGAGAAGTCACTGCACCCCACAGGACGAGAACCATGACGTGGGGACAATAAATACACTCCTACACCTTCTTAAGCACAGCACCACAGAGCCTGAACCAAGTCTCTCACTGATGAAATGCAAGGTATTTCCTTATGCTATCAGGCCATAAAATAGCAGTCCAATAGAAAGGAATGTTAATTGGAAAGACAGGAAATGATAACTTATTAGCAACACTTCTGAACCTGGGATAAGAACTGCTGGTTTAATAGCACAGCACTTCTTTAATTGCTTTGTGCTTCATGCCTCTAAAGCACTTTTAAATCAAGCACACGACATTAAGTTCCCAGAGACAAATTTATCTCCTGTTTGAGAGGCAAAGTACACAAGTGATCAGTCAGAGCTGCACAAGGAGTCTGAATTCCATCTTGGCTGCAGTCTGGCCTCCCCAAGGACCAGCTGTGCATTTATTGCATACCTCTACAGCATCCAAGAATATTGTTACCATCCAACACATCTGCCCTCGTGTTAGCATTGGCAGCCATTTATGAAACTTAAAGCTGATTTTTCCTCTCCAGCATTACCACACATAACTGCATCCCAGAACATAAGTGACACTTGCACTGCAAGGAACACATGCTCAGACTTCTGCAAAGTCTGTAACTAGAATGCCACAGATAATCTGAAGATAACAAAAACACTTCAAAGGGGTATTTAGCCCTAGTCTAAATCTTTCTCCTGTTGGTATACCAGGGAGAGTAGGATTTCCACTCCATTACTTACAAGAATCCTGTATCTGTAAGCATACATAAATTTTCAATGTCATAAAATAGCCCAAGTCCTAATGCCTTGTTAGGAGCTCACCTTGAGAAGTTAAATGCTGCTGGGTTTAAAGGACAGATGCAGTTAACAGCTGCATTCCTTCCTCAAGGAGGCAGCAGTAGGGAAAGTTAGAATCTTCCTTTAAATAAATTCCTGTTTTAAGCAAACTGAAGTGTGAGGGCTCTGTAGAAGCAGCGCTGCTGACCTGAGTGAGTGCATCGAGCCTCAGTGCCTGGGTGTCCCAGAGCAGCTGTCCAGGGACAGGGCCACGAGGAGAACACTGCAGGAAAACAGCCTGGTTCCCTGGTAGGACAGAAAAATTAAACCCACCTGTTGTCACACTTGAAAAAACAGGATACATTCTTCCTCAGGTTGATTTATCTGACAAAATAACTGAGAAAAAAGCCATTTATTTCTATATCCATTTATTATTTTGGTCTGTAAAAATATAAGACTAATATACAACTACATCTAGCTTGATTTTTGTAAAATCAATCTTCATTCAGTGAGATACCAATGTACATTATACATTAAAGTTGTAAGAAAAATACTGATATTTGACATTTTAAACAAGTTCATTCATGTAAAAATCACATTGCAAGTAAAATTTAATTAGAAAATACATAATATTCACAAAAATACACATGTTAAAGACAGCTTGTGAGAACATTGTCCTAAATTTAATTCAGGTGTGGAAAATAACATATGATTCACAGTTAGGCTTGACTTGTCCAGTACCATCGCAGAACTTAAAAGTAAAATGCATCTTAATTCTATTAAGAATTTGTTCTTCTTCCTATTAAGGTGCACTTAGATCTCCCAGACACCACGGAGGAATCACTTCCCCCTCTGTGCATGAACACAACATATAACACTAGTCAAAGGAATTTTAGTTTCTCATTCCATTCTGAAATAATTTGGATAGCTCATAAATTAATTTATAAAATCTGGATTGAAAATACAATTTACACACACAGGATACTTAATACACAGATTACATCAATAGCAGCGTAACATTGTCAGTCATGCTCAGCATCCTCACTAGCACTTCTGCCTTTTCTTCTCTCTTTAGCTATAGATAAAATCTATAGAAAACAGTCAAGCCTTTAAGTATTGTCTTCCAGGGAGAAAACAGTATAGATGTTAAAAATTTAGGAGGTAGTGAATGAAAGGCTAACAATATCAGCATATTTTAAAAAACCTTATACTGAACCCAAGTATCATTTATATATAAAATTAAATTTAGCCACTCATAATCAACCATTGATCATCCCAAAGTAGCAATTTAAAAATCTTTTGTAATTAACAGTGTATGTATTAGTAAGATATGGAAGAACTTTAGAAACCTTATGGTAACTGCAGCATTAAGCAAGTACATGCTGTGCAGTCTGTCATTGTAACTGTAAATACACATTTTTAGATTTATTCTTGAAAGTTTTTATCAAGTCCCAGATGCTTAGTTTTACTCCATGTCACCAAATTTCTGTGAAACAGAATATGATCTATGTCAAAAAGAACATTATCTCAGGTTTAGATTACTCAGTTTGCAGGAAAGGTCCTAGAGATGAAGTCTCATGCAGTTTGGAGCAGGACCCCAATTCCATTTCCACAAGTCCTTAATACTGGCATAAATAATCCAAACTCGCCATGTGCTTGGCAGCACAGCAGCCTCGGGGCAGACTCAGCCCCCCAGGCCAGGCTCTCCTCCTGCAGAGCTGCAGCATCCTCATGGAGCAGAGCAGCCCCAGAGGGATGTGCAGGGAATGGAAAGGTCACAGCTGCCTCAAGTGCACTGCCAGCTCACTCTCTGTACCTCTGCACCTCTCTCCTCTTCCCATCCAAGTGCCTTTATTCCTTTGATTATTCACAATACATTCAAGTAAACCAAAGGCACAGAAGTGCAAACTAGCAGAATAATGAGTCTCACCCTCCACTGGTGATTTCATACAGGAAGGAAAGTCTTCTGACAAAGGAAAATAAAAAAGATATTTTCAAAGTAAACAATCTTCCGTAAAGAAAGGAAGTGTAGAGCAGCGCTGAGAGAAAACGTGTACAGGTAAAGTCTGCATGGTGCACAATGAACATTTCTTCTGCTCATCCCACACTAAGTGGATGCAGTTACTTCATTTTTCATAATTATTAGCAAAACAAGTGAAACACTTGAAAGATCTTGCTCTTGTAAAAGATTCCAGGGCTCTCATACACACAGAAACCATAAATAAGTGTGACAGGAGAGCCCCTCACCTGCATTTGCAGAGTACCACTCCTGCTGTGCCTATCCTCCATAAATCCTAAGGGGGATGAATGCCTCTCTTGGCATCTTGGGCTCCAGTGGCACTGGAGGTTTGAGAAAACTACTGCTCACCAAATACTAATTTCAAATGTGCACTTTGTAACATCAAACAGCAGGGATTTGTTTCTGCAGCAGTGTTTGCATCATCA